AGAGAGAGAGACAGAGAAAGAGACACAGACAGGGAGAGACAGACAGAGAAAGAGACACAGACAGTGAGAGACAGACAGACAGGGAGAGACAGACAGACAAACAGACACAGACAGGGAGAGACAGACAGACATGTTGTCAGCTCGCCTTCTCTGGTCATGATTAAATATTTAACTGTCAGAGAATCATCTGAGTCCAACTGGACCAGAGCATCTGGAACTTCTAACAGGTACCGGACGGTTCTGGTACCAGACTAAAGGTTTCATCCACCATGTTTTAAAATCAAAGCAGGAGGACCCGGCTCCTGAACGAACACGATCTGGGTTCTGTGTACTGACCCACTCCAGTGAAAGACGTTCTGGATCAAACTGACTTTTTGTGGAAGAGTTCTGCGGCCCGGCTCGGCCCGGTTCTTACCCCTCGGTTGCTGGCGTTCTCCTGCAGGAACTTCCTGAACTTGTTGAGGAAGATGTAGCGCGAAGCTTCTCCCTGAAACAGAACCAAATGTTTGGGTCAGAACTCCGACAGATTTCATCACAGAACCTGGTCAACAGCACCCGACAGGGAGGCTGCGCAGTGGTGCAGCGTCACGCTGCGGGAGGACCGGACCCTGGTCCAGGTTTTCAGGATTAAAGCTGAATTTGACAGAGTTCTGGTTCATTGACCCAGTTACAAATCAGTCACTGATCATTCATCATTCATCAGCTGCTGACCCAGAACCAATCAGACCGACTCTGAACAACACCGTGCTCCTCCTGACTGAACAGAACCAGTTCTGAATATTGGGCCCGTTTCGGGTCAGAACTGATACTCACACCACAGAACCTGGTTCTGTGTCGTTTTAACCCTGAAAACAGAGGGAACCTGGACCTGAGTGAACAGTTAGTCCAGACAGGGTAACCCAGCCGGATCAGAACCGTGTGTTGGTACCGTGGTTTTGTCCTTGTTGTTGAGCAGCAGCCTCAGGATCTGGACCTGCAGCTCCTCCACCACTGAAGAGAAGAGCAGAGACACGTTAGCATCAGAACTTTACAATCTATACCAGCAGACAGAACCCGATGACCCGGTTCTGACCTTCGATCCTCTTCTTCAGCCTCTGGCAGCCTCGCTCGTACGCCCGCCGCCTCAGACGCTCGTCAGAACTTTCATCTTTGGGTTCGCGCTCATCTTTACCCTGCAGAGCGACAGGAAGGAGACATGCCAGTCAGACTGTGGGGGTCCATCAGGTCCAGGTTCAGGTTTTAGATGTTTCCAACACCTGGGTCAGTAACAAAACCCAGCAGAACCGGAGGACCAGCAGAGGAGTTCTAGATTATCTCAGTCAAACATGTGACTTCAGTTCTGAGATGTTTTGTCTTTTAGTGGATATTTCTTCTGAAATGAAGAAGAGCCAGAACCAGAACCAGCTCCAGGAGGCTCTGATTGTTCAGAACCGAGATCAGTTCTGTCTGTGCTCAAAGAACCGACGGGTCGGCTCAGTTGGAGCAGGAATGAGAAATAATCACATCAAAACCAAAATTTAAACACAAACACGTAGTCTTCACTTTAACGTTTTCATAAAACAATACAATTATAATAAATATATAAAATAATACTATAGAAATATATAATAATATAATAATAATAATATATTAATACAAATACAATATTTCTAAAATAATAAAATATAACTTTAATCTGTTCCTGAAAGAGCTTTACTGTGAAAACAACATTTCTTCTAAAACCCTTTAATAAACTTTATTAAATCATAATAAAGTTTGATTGAGTCATGATATTTTTGTTATCTCAGTTTTCAGACACTCGTCTGTCGATCCTCTATGACGTGTTTCTGACAGTTCTGAAGATCCGTCGGGTCAAAGAAAGGTTCAGACGTTTAAATGATGATTTGAAGCAGCGTGAATCCAGTCCGCCCGGCGCTTCGGCCCGTCTGCTCTGCTGTCTGGGAAACAATAACTAAACTTTTGTTCCACGTGGATTTATTTTTAAATCTGAACATTTTCATTATTTTTTTAATACGGGAGTGGGCCCCACCCCCACACTAATGAGCAGTACGCTGATGTGGGGTCAAGGTCAAGAAAAGGTCAAGAAAAAAACAAGTCCTGGGTCATGACGCTCTTTATCTGCACGACATGTTTAGAAAGGTTTTACAGGTCAGGTGAGGAAGCAGCTGAGTCGGTTTTACCTCCTTGTCAAAGTGCGTGGGCCACCAGGTGGTGGGGATGAGCTCCTCAAGCCCCGCCTCCTTCACCCTCAGAGGGGTCTTGATGTAGAAGAACACGACAGAACGTAGAACATCAAACGTGGCTCCGGTTAAAGAGTCAAACAGGAAGCTGTCCCAGATGAAAACTGGCTGTGAGCACATTTCGTCTACTTCAGTGATTCTCAAGATGTTTTGATTTTAAAAATCGGACCCCCCCTTAAGAAAACTGTTTCCAGCACGACACCCACAGTCTGAGAGCTGCTGCTTCATTTGGTTCAAGAATCAGAGTTAATCAGCAGCAACAAGATGAACCTCCTGACCCGGTTCTGGGTCCAGGTGCTGGACTCTCTGGGTTCAGGTGAAAGGATATAAGACGTTGTTGAGCAAATACTTCCTGGACTTCTCGTGGCGGAGGATGGCCGTGGTCAGCCTCAGATAGTGAATCTGAAACAGATAGACACACCTGAGGACACCTGAGGACACCTGGGGACACCTGAGGACACCAGGTCCATGTGGATTAAAAACAGGAAGTAGGTCGTACCTGGAAGCCCAGGTCTGGGATGATGGGGGAGAACCGGTACGCCCTCAGCAGAGACATCATCAGCTGCTTCAGACACTCGTTCACCTCGTGTTCCTGCAGACACAAAGACAAGTTTTGAGCTTCACCACAAACCTGAGGCTGACCTCTGACCCTGCTGGTCCAACAAACCTCCATCAGCAGCCAGAACAGGTCCAAGAGCTGCTGGATCAGGGGGTGTTCATCCACAGAGCCCCCTCCCTCCAGAATCCCCAACAGGAAGTTCATCAGGACATCCTCCACCAGGTACACCTTACACTGCAGAAACAAACCAACTGTTACCTGAAGTCTGAACCCTAATGGTTCAGAACCAGTCCAGCCCCCACCACCCCCCACCCTGACTGAGGAAAAACTGAAGGAACCAAGAAGGTGATGTTTCATTGGTCTAACCAATTCTAGATGGAGTCCAAGTCCAAAAAAATGACCAAACACAAGAACCAGGTGATCAGTGAGCTGCTAAGACTCTCCTGACAGAACACCGGTCCCTGATGTGAGGGGGACAACAGGTCCCTGTTCCTCTGAGGTGGATCACATGTCCCTGTTCTTCTGAGGTGGATCACAGGTCCCTGTCCCTCTGAGGTGGATCAAAGGTCCCTGTTCCTCTGAGGTGGACCACAGGTCCCTATTCCTCTGAGGTGGACCACAGGTCCCTATTCCTCTGAGGTGGACCACAGGTCCATATTCCTCTGAGGTGGATCACAGGTCCCTGTTCCTCTGAGGTAGACCACAGGTGCCTGTTCCTCTGAGGTGGATCACAGGTTCCTGTCCCTCTGAGGAGACCCAGGTTCCTGTCCCTCTGAGGGGGACCACTGGTTCTTCTCCCTTTGAGGTGGATCACAGGTTCCTGTCCCTCTGAGGAGGACCACAGGTTCCTGTCCCTCTGAAGGGGACCACAGCTTTGTGTCCCTCTGAGGTGGATCACATGTTCCTGTCTCTCTGAGGTGGATCACATGTTCCTGTCCCTCTGAGGAGGATCACAGGTTCCTGTCCCTCTGAGGGGGATCTTTGTTACCATTCCTTACAGACCAGCCGGCAGCTCTTCTCACCATCAGAGGAGCAAAGTGGTTGAAGATGTGAGCCAGGGTGATGAGAACCGTTGGATCCCCATGAAGCCTCCAAACTGCAGAGTCATCCTCCACCAGCTTGTCCTCCTGCAGACACACACAACACATTTAAACACAAAGTAAAACACACACTTCACATGTTCTTCAGTCCAGATAAAACCAGATGTTCCAACTGTTGGACAAAATCCTTCAGTCCAGATAAAACCAGATGTTCCATCAGTTGGACAAAGTCCTTCAATCCAGATAAAACCAGATGTTCCACCCACTGGATGAAGACACACCGAACCATTTAAATCTCTGAAATCCCATCAGACCAAATCCTTCCTGGTCCAGTTTGGATTCAGAAAATTAGATACGTCTGTTAAAAACATGTTCTCAGTATTTGGTACCATTGCCTTTAAACTGTCTGATTGGGTCAGATGTTCTGGGTCTTCTTCCACTGACTTCTCACAGCTGTCTGTTGGACTTCACTCCCAGTCCTGGTGGACATGAATCAATTTTGGAGGACACCTTAGTCACACCTTTTCGTCCATTTACCATTTACCATTTACCTTTTCAGTTCCACCCACAGATTTTCTCTGGCACTGAGATGGTCTGTGTGATGGACGCTCTAGAACATAGGCTCTTGTCCTTCAGACACTTTGTAACTAATACAGCAGAAGACTGAGAGACATTGTTCATTTTGGGTTAGGGTTCACACATCACAAAGCTTCGCACTGCTGTACTTGTCCATCAGGATGGTGTCCTCAGGCACAGGTTACGATGGACATTAACAGGAATGATTTAGTTCCATCAGACCTCAGGACATGTTTCTAAACATTAACGTCTTTGTCTCTTTGTGGACAAACTTTTTTGTTGCTTTGGGAATAATGTCGTTGCTCTCTCCGAGTGTCCTATCAGCCCATGTTGGTCCAGAGCTCTCCATTCAGAGCCGGAGTATGGAACAGAAAACCTGTTTCCTCAGCTCCAGTTATGGGCAGACAAACCCCCAAGTGCCCCAACTCAGCTTCCTCCATGGGAAATGTTTTGGTGGGATTAAGAAGATCTGAGAAGTATTCCTTCTACCTCCTGACAAAATCATTGGTTGAGGTCAACAGCACCCCACCTCCATTAAACACAGTGTTGATAAAGCGCCGCTTTCCCAGCCTCAGATGCCTGATGGTTTGCCAGAATCTCCGGGGAGCAGATCGAAAGTCTCTATCCAAGGCCTCACTGAGCTCCTCCCTCATCCAAGCTTTTGCCTCAGCAAAAGTCATGGCTGTGGCTTGATTGGCTCTTGGGTACCACTTGGCTGTCGCTGGAGTTGTACCAAACAACAAGTCCTGATAGGACTCCTTCTCTACCAAGTTTGAGGATAACCACCAGATAACCTTGTGGCCACAGTTCAAGGCAGTCACCTTTTATGGGGAGTGGTGGTGCAGAGGTTAGAGAGGTGGGCCTGTGATCTGAAGATCGCCGGTTCACACCCCGGTCCCGACAACAGTAAAATTGTGGGTGGGGTAGGTGAAGCACCCACACCTGCCCCCACCCTCATTCGTCCCACTCTGGGCCCATGAGCAAGGCCCTTAACCCCCCCATCTGCTCCCTAAACAGGTCGCTCTTGAAAACGAGTTCTCGTGGCTCAATGAGACTACCTGGATATATAAAGGGTAAATGAAAAAAAAAAAAAGGTGTGGAACATAGTCCACTCTGAGTCAACATCCCCGCCCTTGTTGGGATGCGGTTGAAGTTCTCTTGGATGTGTGAGCTGAAACACCTTCTGATGGGTTCTTTTGCCAAGCGTTCCCAGCAAACCCTCAGTAGATGGGTATGCCGGGTCTGTCCAACATCTACCCCACCATCTGATCCAACTTAGTTGATAGGGTAGCTCCTCTCTTCAACTGAGCATGCAAAGCATATGCCTGCAGATCAGATGACAAGACTACAAAGTCAATCATTGATCTGCAGCCTAGGGTGTCCTGGTGCCAAGTGCACTTATGAACACCCTTATTTTCAAACATAGTAATTGGAATGGACAAACCGTGACTAGCACAGAAGTTCAACAACAGAAGACAACTCGGGTTCAGGCCAGAGAGGTCGTTCCTCCTAATCATGCCCCTCCATGTCACATAGTCACTACCCACACGGGAATTGAAGTCCCCCAGCAGAATAAAGGAGTTTCCAGCTGGAGCACCATTCAGCACCCCCACTATAGACTCCAAAATGGCCCCAAACTGCTGTTTGGAACATAAGCACAAGCAACAGTCAGAGCCTGTCCCCCCAACTGAAGGTGTAGGGAAGCTACCATCTCATCTACCAGGGAAATCTCCAACACACAGGCACAAGCCAGTGGGCTACAAGTAGCCCAGTGCCTCTCACCATGGGCAACTTCAGAGTGGAATGAGTTCCAATCCCTCTCAAGGAAATTGGTTACAGAGCCCACACCGTATGCCGAGGTGAGCCCAACTATAACCAGTCAGTACCTCTCAACATCACACACAAGCTCAGGCTTCTTCCCCACCAGAGAGTTGACATTCCATGTCACAAGACAGCTTTGGTAAGCAAGAGTCAGAGCACCAAGGCTCCCACATTCGCCTATGGCTTATGGCACTATGCACCAACTCGTATGGCCCCTCCCACAGGAAGGCAAACCCATATTACTCATTCAGGCTGAGCCCAAACAGGCTCCATAGGTACTACTATTACTTTATTTAAAAATAAAAACAACTTTAAAAACAACCACCGCTGCAACAAAGTGTTGTACATACACAATCAAGAACATTTAAACACAAAAGAAAAAACTGTTAAAACAGTAAGGCCAATAAAAACAGTAGTGCAGAGCAAATTTCTGGCTGTGCCAAAAGCAAGGGAAGAAAAACGTGTTTTTTTAAAAGTTTAAAAATGGACAGCAAAGGGGTTCTTCTGATGGGAAGTGGGAGATGGTTCCATAAATTTGGAGCAGCAGCAGAAAAGATGGAGACCTGGACACAAGGTGCTCTCTGACAAGCCCCTCCCCCAGGCCCAGCTCCAGTAACCCATTCCAGGGCAAGGGACACCAAGGTCCTTGCTGTTGTCTATTCATACAAGAGGTCTGAATTGCTCTTTGTATGGCCTGTCACCTAGGACCAACTTGCCTTAGGAAATCCTACCGGGGTAATTGCCGCCGACAGCATGGCTCCTAGGATCATTCAGGCCATAAACTCCTCCACTAGAATAAGGTGGCGATTCATGGATACAGGGCTCTGGGGGTGGATGAGATGGGTGGATGGATGAATGGATAAAACTCATCCACTTCCCGAGAGGTATGATTGAACAAAGAAACCGTCTTTTTCCAGAGCAATAAGAAGGAACACAGAACCCCTCTACTTCCTGAGAGAACTAATGTTTTTTTCTAGAATAAAACCAGCTGTTCTCCATGACCCCCCCCCTTCCCCCCACAACAGTGACACATAGGTGTTTCAGTCACCTGGGTGTCCATGGAGGTGGACAGGACATTCTTGATGTAACCCAGTAGTTTGTGAGCCTTCTTCAGGTCTGCAGTGGGAGGGTCCTGGAGGGGGCGGTATCCTTCCACAGGATACGTGAGTCAAAGCGTGGTTAAAGAAAAACACTGAGGGCAGCATTTAGTCAGAGTGTAGCATATATGAGCAATGGTGGAAGAAAGGTGACACTTGTTCCTCACTTTACTAGACTTATTTACTTATATTGCACAAGTGTGACAGCAGCTGGTCAGTTTATTGACCAACAACAACTTAATTAATAAATTCACCCTTTAATAATCAGAACTCAGTCACTGAAGTAGAATCTGTTCATTACTGGGAGCTCCATACCATAACAAATTAATATTCCTTCAAAGGAGACCAAAGTTGTCTCAAGTTTTATTGTAAAAATAATTTATCAAACTAAACAAAATCAAACAACATAAAAGATAATAATTTGTAGAATAGCTTGTTAAAAAGTAGTAAAATAATTATTAAAACAATGAACAATCTAAACAATTATCAATCAACGATTAATTCTCTTATCTTAAGGCAAAATTAGTTCTTTGAGCGGGAATTATTTTGGCTTTTATACGCGCATAAATTTAGACAAAGTTCATTTGATAAATAGTTTACTTTGGATTTTGGTTGAGAGAAGTATTTAATGTGACCAGATCAAGTAATTTATTATCACTGCAAGCCAGGAAACGATTGATCAAGTTGCATGAGCTAAAAATGGCATAACCAGAGTTGCATCATGTCAACTGGTTTCTGCTCCTTACTGGGTCAGTTTGAGGATGCCAGTTCACTCATCTTTCCGGAGTACTGCTGGTAGATCAGACCGGGATACACCACGAGGAGAGGACTAGCCAGGAACTGCCCAAAGAGGCTGAAAGTCACTGTGACTGCTTCAGGGGTCGGTGAGGACGACAGCTGATGAGAAGGTGTGCAGGTGATAGACAACCATCAGCTGGCTTAGACTTTAAGCCGAAAACACGAGTCTTGCAGTGAGAAAAGAACAACGCTTCATCTTCGGTAGTTACTTGAAACTTACTTTGCTTCTAACAAAAACTGTAACTGAGCAAACATGTTTACTTGCTCAGGAATAAACAAAGACGAACATTAGACGTGAGGATGGGCAAATCAGACAAACTGAAAGTGTCCCACAAAGAAACTTTGTGTGAACTCTCGGCTCTCAGAAGAATTTTGAGGATCTCTCAGACATTATGACTCCCCTCTGAAGTAAAGTTTAGAGCAACTTTAAAGAAAACAATTTATGGTGAGTCTGGAAGGCAACCCAAGGGTCACAGGTCATAGGCTGGGAAGCACATCTTCATTCTAAAACAGCAATGTGGCACACCTGTGGAACTGAAACACGCCTTCATCTACCTGGAATACAGCAGGAAGTTTTACCTGCTCAGGTGAGGGAGATAACAGCAGACAAAGTTCTGAAGTAAAAGTGCTCAGGTGTAGGGTCAGTCAGGTGATCAGGGGTTAGTCTGAGAGCTGAAGGATATCTGAGCGGCCTGCTGCCGAAGTTAAAGGCCACCGACTCTTTGAAGGACAAGCTGATGGCAGGAAAATATGCCACACCGGGACCCGTCTTTATGTTGGTGAAGGCCATACCCAGGGACTGCCCATTCCTGCACACAAGTGTCAGGTACAGGTAAAGGAACAGGTACAGGTACCAAAGGTGAAGCCTGAACGTGTCTGCATGATGCTAAAAAACTCACAGGCAGAAGGTGATGGTTCCTTCATCCAGATCGATCAGACAGCTCACCACGTCTCCTGCTGCCCATGACTGCACAAATATTACACGAGTCAGCACAAAATACACGAGTCAGCACGTATTACATGGCGTGAGTCAGCACGAAATACAAGACATGAGTCAGCACAAAATACACAACATGAGTCAGCACAAAATACACAACATGAGTCAGCACATAGTACACGACATGAGTCAGCACGAAATACACGACATGAGTCAGCAAATATTACACGACATGAATCAGCACAAAATATACAATGAGTCAGCACAAAATACACGACATGAGTCAGCATGAAATACACGA